TCCAAAAACTGCCATACATGCTTCCAAAAACTGCCATACATGCTTCCAAAAACTGCCATACATGCTTCCAAAAACTGCCATACATGCTTCCAAAAACTGCCAGACATGCTTCCAAAAACTGCCATACATGCTTCCAAAAACTGCCATACATGCTTCCAAAAACTGCCATACATGCTTCCAAAAACTGCCATACATGCTTCCAAAAACTGCCATGCATGCTTCCAAAAACTGCCATACATGCTTCCAAAAACTGCCATACATGCTTCCAAAAACTGCCATACATGCTTCCAAAAACTGCCATACATGCTTCCAAAAACTGCCATACATGCTTCCAAAAACTGCCATACATGCTTCCAAAAACTGCCATACATGCTTCCAAAAACTGCCATACATGCTTCCAAAAACTGCCATACATGCTTCCAAAAACTGCCATACATGCTTCCAAAAACTGCCATACATGCTTCCAAAAACTGCCATACATGCTTCCAAAAACTGCCATACATGCTTCCAAAAACTGCCATACATGCTTCCAAAAACTGCCAGACATGCTTCCAAAAACTGCCATACATGCTTCCAAAAACTGCCATACATGCTTCCAAAAACTGCCATACATGCTTCCAAAAACTGCCATACATGCTTCCAAAAACTGCCATACATGCTTCCAAAAACTGCCATACATGCTTCCAAAAACTGCCATACATGCTTCCAAAAACTGCCATACATGCTTCCAAAAACTGCCATACATGCTTCCAAAAACTGCCATACATGCTTCCAAAAACTGCCATACATGCTTCCAAAAACTGCCATACATGCTTCCAAAAACTGCCATACATGCTTCCAAAAACTGCCATACATGCTTCCAAAAACTGCCATACATGCTTCCAAAAACTGCCATACATGCTTCCAAAAACTGCCATACATGCTTCCAAAAACTGCCATACATGCTTCCAAAAACTGCCATACATGCTTCCAAAAACTGCCATACATGCTTCCAAAAACTGCCATACATGCTTCCAAAAACTGCCATACATGCTTCCAAAAACTGCCATACATGCTTCCAAAAACTGCCATACATGCTTCCAAAAACTGCCATACATGCTTCCAAAAACTGCCATACATGCTTCCAAAAACTGCCATACATGCTTCCAAAAACTGCCATACATGCTTCCAAAAACTGCCATACATGCTTCCAAAAACTGCCATACATGCTTCCAAAAACTGCCATACATGCTTCCAAAAACTGCCATACATGCTTCCAAAAACTGCCATACATGCTTCCAAAAACTGCCATACATGCTTCCAAAAACTGCCATACATGCTTCCAAAAACTGCCATACATGCTTCCAAAAACTGCCATACATGCTTCCAAAAACTGCCATACATGCTTCCAAAAACTGCCATACATGCTTCCAAAAACTGCCATACATGCTTCCAAAAACTGCCATACATGCTTCCAAAAACTGCCATACATGCTTCCAAAAACTGCCATACATGCTTCCAAAAACTGCCATACATGCTTCCAAAAACTGCCATACATGCTTCCAAAAACTGCCATACATGCTTCCAAAAACTGCCATACATGCTTCCAAAAACTGCCATACATGCTTCCAAAAACTGCCATACATGCTTCCAAAAACTGCCATACATGCTTCCAAAAACTGCCATACATGCTTCCAAAAACTGCCATACATGCTTCCAAAAACTGCCATACATGCTTCCAAAAACTGCCATACATGCTTCCAAAAACTGCCATACATGCTTCCAAAAACTGCCATACATGCTTCCAAAAACTGCCATACATGCTTCCAAAAACTGCCATACATGCTTCCAAAAACTGCCATACATGCTTCCAAAAACTGCCATACATGCTTCCAAAAACTGCCATACATGCTTCCAAAAACTGCCATACATGCTTCCAAAAACTGCCATACATGCTTCCAAAAACTGCCATACATGCTTCCAAAAACTGCCATACATGCTTCCAAAAACTGCCATACATGCTTCCAAAAACTGCCATACATGCTTCCAAAAACTGCCATACATGCTTCCAAAAACTGCCATACATGCTTCCAAAAACTGCCATACATGCTTCCAAAAACTGCCATACATGCTTCCAAAAACTGCCATACATGCTTCCAAAAACTGCCATACATGCTTCCAAAAACTGCCATACATGCTTCCAAAAACTGCCATACATGCTTCCAAAAACTGCCATACATGCTTCCAAAAACTGCCATACATGCTTCCAAAAACTGCCATACATGCTTCCAAAAACTGCCATACATGCTTCCAAAAACTGCCATACATGCTTCCAAAAACTGCCATACATGCTTCCAAAAACTGCCATACATGCTTCCAAAAACTGCCATACATGCTTCCAAAAACTGCCATACATGCTTCCAAAAACTGCCATACATGCTTCCAAAAACTGCCATACATGCTTCCAAAAACTGCCATACATGCTTCCAAAAACTGCCATACATGCTTCCAAAAACTGCCATACATGCTTCCAAAAACTGCCATACATGCTTCCAAAAACTGCCATACATGCTTCCAAAAACTGCCATACATGCTTCCAAAAACTGCCATACATGCTTCCAAAAACTGCCATACATGCTTCCAAAAACTGCCATACATGCTTCCAAAAACTGCCATACATGCTTCCGAAAACTGCCATACATGCTTCCGAAAACTGCCATACATGCTTCCGAAAACTGCCATACATGCTTCCGAAAACTGCCATACATGCTTCCGAAAACTGCCATACATGCTTCCGAAAACTGCCATACATGCTTCCGAAAACTGCCATACATGCTTCCGAAAACTGCCATACATGCTTCCAAAAACTGCCATACATGCTTCCGAAAACTGCCATACATGCTTCCGAAAACTGCCATACATGCTTCCGAAAACTGCCATACATGCTTCCGAAAACTGCCATACATGCTTCCAAAAACTGCCATACATGCTTCCAAAAACTGCCATACATGCTTCCAAAAACTGCCATACATGCTTCCAAAAACTGCCATACATGCTTCCAAAAACTGCCATACATGCTTCCAAAAACTGCCATACATGCTTCCAAAAACTGCCATACATGCTTCCAAAAACTGCCATACATGCTTCCAAAAACTGCCATACATGCTTCCAAAAACTGCCATACATGCTTCCAAAAACTGCCATACATGCTTCCAAAAACTGCCATACATGCTTCCAAAAACTGCCATACATGCTTCCAAAAACTGCCATACATGCTTCCAAAAACTGCCATACATGCTTCCGAAAACTGCCATACATGCTTCCGAAAACTGCCATACATGCTTCCGAAAACTGCCATACATGCTTCCGAAAACTGCCATACATGCTTCCGAAAACTGCCATACATGCTTCCGAAAACTGCCATACATGCTTCCGAAAACTGCCATACATGCTTCCGAAAACTGCCATACATGCTTCCGAAAACTGCCATACATGCTTCCGAAAACTGCCATACATGCTTCCAAAAACTGCCATACATGCTTCCGAAAACTGCCATACATGCTTCCAAAAACTGCCATACATGCTTCCAAAAACTGCCATACATGCTTCCAAAAACTGCCATACATGCTTCCAAAAACTGCCATACATGCTTCCAAAAACTGCCATACATGCTTCCAAAAACTGCCATACATGCTTACAAAAACTGCCATACATGCTTCCAAAAACTGCCAGACATGCTTCCGAAAACTGCCATACATGCTTCCGAAAACTGCCATACATGCTTCCGAAAACTGCCATACATGCTTCCGAAAACTGCCATACATGCTTCCGAAAACTGCCATACATGCTTCCGAAAACTGCCATACATGCTTCCGAAAACTGCCATACATGCTTCCGAAAACTGCCATACATGCTTCCAAAAACTGCCATACATGCTTCCGAAAACTGCCATACATGCTTCCGAAAACTGCCATACATGCTTCCAAAAACTGCCATACATGCTTCCGAAAACTGCCATACATGCTTCCGAAAACTGCCATACATGCTTCCGAAAACTGCCATACATGCTTCCGAAAACTGCCATACATGCTTCCAAAAACTGCCATACATGCTTCCGAAAACTGCCACCACATGCTTCCGAAAACTGCCATACATGCTTCCGAAAACTGCCATACATGCTTCCAAAAACTGCCATACATGCTTCCAAAAACTGCCATACATGCTTCCAAAAACTGCCATACATGCTTCCAAAAACTGCCATACATGCTTCCGAAAACTGCCATACATGCTTCCAAAAACTGCCATACATGCTTCCAAAAACTGCCATACATGCTTCCAAAAACTGCCATACATGCTTCCAAAAACTGCCATACATGCTTCCAAAAACTGCCATACATGCTTCCAAAAACTGCCATACATGCTTCCAAAAACTGCCATACATGCTTCCGAAAACTGCCATACATGCTTCCGAAAACTGCCATACATGCTTCCGAAAACTGCCATACATGCTTCCGAAAACTGCCATACATGCTTCCGAAAACTGCCATACATGCTTCCGAAAACTGCCATACATGCTTCCGAAAACTGCCATACATGCTTCCAAAAACTGCCATACATGCTTCCGAAAACTGCCACCAGATGCTTCCAAAAACTGCCATACATGCTTCCAAAAACTGCCATACATGCTTCCAAAAACTGCCATACATGCTTCCAAAAACTGCCATACATGCTTCCAAAAACTGCCATACATGCTTCCAAAAACTGCCATACATGGGCACTGGCCCCATTTAGCGGATGGAGAGGAAGGGTGTGACGAAGATGGCAACGTATGTGGCAGTGCGGGCCTCAAAAGGTTCCACCCGTGATGAGCACAAGAAGCAGAATCGTGACACAACCACCCAATGCATTACGCCGTGTCAGTGCTCCCTCAGGCCTTACAGCAATCACTGCACCCACAGCACTCAAAGCACTTCCAGCACTCACAACAATCACTGCACCCACAGCACTCACAGAGCACTCACCGCATACTCCAGCTCTGCATAGTTGGTGCCCTTGTACACTCTCACGATCTGACACACACAGATGGCAGGCAGAGGGGAGGGGGGGAGAAGCGAGCAGCATGAATAGCATGGAACTGGGAAGGAGAGGTAGAGAGAATAGCGCCCCACTTAGTGCACCCACTTAGCGCTCCCACTTAGCTCCCCCACTAAGCGCCCCCACTTAGTGCCCCAACTTTGAGGTGCAGGTGTGAGGTGCAGGTGTGAGGTGCAGGTTTGAGGTGCAGGTTTGAGGTGCAGGTTTGAGGTGCAGGTTTGAGGTACAGGTTTGAGGTCAGGTTTGAGGTCAGGTTTGAGGTGCAGGTTTGAGGTGCAGGTTTGAGGTGCAGGTTTGAGGTGCAGGTTTGAGGTCAGGTTTGAGGTCAGGTTTGAGGTGCAGGTTTGAGGTCAGGTTTGAGGTCAGGTTTGAGGTGCAGGTTTGAGGTCAGGTTTGAGGTCAGGTTTGAGGTCAGGTTTGAGGTCAGGTTTGAGGTCAGGTTTGAGGTGCAGGTTTGAGGTGCAGGTTTAAGGTGCAGGTTTGAGGTGCAGGTTTGAGGTACAGGTTTGAGGTGCAGGTTTGAGGTGCAGGTTTGAGGTGCAGGTTTGAGGTCAGGTTTGAGGTCAGGTTTGAGGTCAGGTTTGAGGTGCAGGTTTGAGGTGCAGGTTTGAGGTGCAGGTTTGAGGTGCAGGTTTGACGTCAGGTTTGACGTCAGGTTTGACGTCAGGTTTGATGTCAGGTTTGAGGTCAGGTTTGAGCTCAGGTTTGAGGTCAGGTTTGAGGTGCAGGTTTGAGGTGCAGATTTGAGGTGCAGGTTTGAGGTGCAGGTTTGAGGTGCAGGTTTGAGGTGCAGGTTTGAGGTGCAGGTTTGAGGTGCAGGTTTGAGGTGCAGGTGTGAGGTGCAGGTTTGAGGTGCAGGTTTGAGGTGCAGGTTTGAGGTGCAGGTTTGAGGTGCAGGTTTGAGGTGCAGGTTTGAGGTGCAGGTTTGAGGTGCAGGTTTGACGTCAGGTCAGAGGTGCAGGTTTGAGGTGCAGGTTTGAGGTGCAGGTTTGAGGTGCAGGTTTGAGGTGCAGGTTTGACGTCAGGTCAGAGGTGCAGGTTTGAGGTGCATGTTTGAGGTGCAGGTTTGAGGTGCAGGTTTGAGGTGCAGGTTTGAGGTGCAGGTTTGAGGTGCAGGTTTGACGTCAGGTCAGAGGTGCAGGTTTGAGGTGCAGGTTTGAGGTGCAGGTTTGAGGTGCAGGTTTGAGGTGCAGGTTTGAGGTCAGGTTTGAGGTCAGGTTTGAGGTGCAGGTTTGAGGTCAGGTTTGAGGTCAGGTTTGAGGTCAGGTTTGAGGTGCAGGTTTGACGTCAGGTTTGAGGTGCAGGTTTGAGGTGCAGGTTTGAGGTGCAGGTTTGAGGTGCAGGTTTGAGGTACAGGTTTGAGGTGCAGGTTTGAGGTGCAGGTTTGAGGTGCAGGTTTGAGGTGCAGGTTTGAGGTACAGGTTTGAGGTCAGGTTTGAGGTCAGGTTTGCGGTGCAGGTTTGAGGTGCAGATTTGAGGTGCAGGTTTGAGGTGCAGGTTTGAGGTGCAGGTTTGAGGTGCAGGTTTGAGGTGCAGGTTTGAGGTGCAGGTTTGAGGTGCAGGTGTGAGGTGCAGGTTTGAGGTGCAGGTTTGAGGTGCAGGTTTGAGGTGCAGGTTTGAGGTGCAGGTTTGAGGTGCAGGTTTGAGGTGCAGGTTTGAGGTGCAGGTTTGAGGTGCAGGTTTGAGGTGCAGGTTTGAGGTGCAAGTTTGAGGTGCAGGTTTGAGGTGCAGGTTTGAGGTGCAGGTTTGAGGTGCAGGTTTGAGGTGCAGGTTTGAGGTGCAGGTTTGAGGTGCAGGTTTGAGGTGCAGGTTTGAGGTGCAGGTTTGAGGTGCAGGTTTGAGGTGCAGGTATGAGGTGCAGGTTTGAGGTGCAGGTTTGAGGTGCAGGTTTGAGGTGCAGGTTTGAGGTACAGGTTTGAGGTCAGGTTTGAGGTGCAGGTTTGAGGTGCAGGTTTAAGGTGCAGGTTTGAGGGCAGGTTTGAGGTCAGGTTTGAGGTCAGGTTTGAGGGGCAGGTTTGAGGTGCAGGTTTAAGGTGCAGGTTTGACGTCAGGTTTGAGGTCAGGTTTGAGGTCAGGTTTGAGGGCAGGTTTGAGGTCAGGTTTGAGGTCAGGTCTGAGGTCAGGTTTGACGTCAGGTTTGACGTCAGGTTTGACGTCAGGTTTGAGGTCAGGTTTGACTTCAGGTTTGACGTCAGGTTTGACGTAAGGTTTGACGTCAGGTTTGAGGTGCAGGTTTGAGGTGCAGGTTTGAGGTCAGGTTTGAGGTGCAGGTTTGAGGTGCAGGTTTGACGTCAGGTTTGACGTCAGGTTTGAGGTCAGGTTTGACTTCAGGTTTGACGTCAGGTTTGACGTCAGGTTTGAGGTGCAGGTTTGAGGTGCAGGTTTGAGGTGCAGGTTTGAGGTGCAGGTTTGAGGTGCAGGTTTGAGGTGCAGGTTTGAGGTGCAGGTTTGAGGTGCAGGTTTGACGTCAGGTCAGAGGTGCAGGTTTGAGGTGCAGGTTTGAGGTGCAGGTTTGAGGTGCAGGTTTGAGGTCATGTTTGAGGTCAGGTTTGAGGTGCAGGTTTGAGGTCAGGTTTGAGGTCAGGTTTGAGGTCAGGTTTGAGGTGCAGGTTTGAGGTGCAGGTTTGAGGTACAGGTTTGAGGTGCAGGTTTGAGGTGCAGGTTTGAGGTGCAGGTTTGAGGTCAGGTTTGAGGTCAGGTTTGAGGTGCAGGTTTGAGGTCAGGTTTGAGGTCAGGTTTGAGGTGCAGGTTTGAGGTCAGGTTTGAGGTCAGGTTTGAGGTCAGGTTTGAGGTCAGGTTTGAGGTCAGGTTTGAGGTCAGGTTTGAGGTGCAGGTTTGAGGTGCAGGTTTAAGGTGCAGGTTTGAGGTGCAGGTTTGAGGTACAGGTTTGAGGTGCAGGTTTGAGGTGCAGGTTTGAGGTGCAGGTTTGAGGTCAGGTTTGAGGTCAGGTTTGAGGTCAGGTTTGAGGTCAGGTTTGAGGTGCAGGTTTGAGGTGCAGGTTTGAGGTGCAGGTTTGAGGTGCAGGTTTGACGTCAGGTTTGACGTCAGGTTTGACGTCAGGTTTGATGTCAGGTTTGAGGTCAGGTTTGAGGTCAGGTTTGAGGTCAGGTTTGAGGTGCAGGTTTGAGGTGCAGATTTGAGGTGCAGGTTTGAGGTGCAGGTTTGAGGTGCAGGTTTGAGGTGCAGGTTTGAGGTGCAGGTTTGAGGTGCAGGTGTGAGGTGCAGGTTTGAGGTGCAGGTTTGAGGTACAGGTTTGAGGTGCAGGTTTGAGGTGCAGGTTTGAGGTGCAGGTTTGAGGTCAGGTTTGAGGTCAGGTTTGAGGTCAGGTTTGAGGTCAGGTTTGAGGTGCAGGTTTGAGGTGCAGGTTTGAGGTGCAGGTTTGAGGTGCAGGTTTGACGTCAGGTTTGACGTCAGGTTTGACGTCAGGTTTGATGTCAGGTTTGAGGTCAGGTTTGAGGTCAGGTTTGAGGTCAGGTTTGAGGTGCAGGTTTGAGGTGCAGATTTGAGGTGCAGGTTTGAGGTGCAGGTTTGAGGTGCAGGTTTGAGGTGCAGGTTTGAGGTGCAGGTTTGAGGTGCAGGTGTGAGGTGCAGGTTTGAGGTGCAGGTTTGAGGTGCAGGTTTGAGGTGCAGGTTTGAGGTGCAGGTTTGAGGTGCAGGTTTGAGGTGCAGGTTTGAGGTGCAGGTTTGACGTCAGGTTTGAGGTGCAGGTTTGAGGTGCAGGTGTGAGGTGCAGGTTTGAGGTGCAGGTTTGAGGTGCAGGTTTGAGGTGCAGGTTTGAGGTGCAGGTTTGAGGTGCATGTTTGAGGTGCAGGTTTGAGGTCAGGTTTGAGGTCAGGTTTGAGGTCAGGTTTGAGGTCAGGTTTGAGGTGCAGGTTTGAGGTGCAGGTTTGAGGTGCAGGTTTAATGTACAGGTTTGAGGTGCAGGTTTGAGGTGCAGGTTTGAGGTGCAGGTTTGAGGTGCAGGTTTGAGGTCAGGTTTGAGGTCAGGTTTGAGGTCAGGTTTGAGGTGCAGGTTTGAGGTGCAGGTTTGAGGTGCAGGTTTGAGGTGCAGGTTTGACGTCAGGTTTGACGTCAGGTTTGACGTCAGGTTTGATGTCAGGTTTGAGGTCAGGTTTGAGGTCAGGTTTGAGGTCAGGTTTGAGGTGCAGGTTTGAGGTGCAGATTTGAGGTGCAGGTTTGAGGTGCAGGTTTGAGGTGCAGGTTTGAGGTGCAGGTTTGAGGTGCAGGTTTGAGGTGCAGGTGTGAGGTGCAGGTTTGAGGTGCAGGTTTGAGGTGCAGGTTTGAGGTGCAGGTTTGAGGTGCAGGTTTGAGGTGCAGGTTTGAGGTGCAGGTTTGAGGTGCAGGTTTGACGTCAGGTTTGAGGTGCAGGTTTGAGGTGCAGGTGTGAGGTGCAGGTTTGAGGTGCAGGTTTGAGGTGCAGGTTTGAGGTGCAGGTTTGAGGTGCAGGTTTGAGGTGCAGGTTTGAGGTGCAGGTTTGACGTCAGGTTTGAGGTCAGGTTTGACGTCAGGTTTGATGTCAGGTTTGAGGTCAGGTTTGAGGTGCAGGTTTGAGGTGCAGGTTTGAGGTGCAGGTTTGAGGTACAGGTTTGAGGTGCAGGTTTGAGGTGCAGGTTTGACGTCAGGTTTGAGGTGCAGGTTCGAGGTGCAGGTGTGAGGTGCAGGTTTGAGGTGCAGGTTTGAGGTGCAGGTTTGAGGTGCAGGTTTGAGGTGCAGGTTTGAGGTGCATGTTTGAGGTGCAGGTTTGAGGTCAGGTTTGAGGTCAGGTTTGAGGTCAGGTTTGAGGTCAGGTTTGAGGTGCAGGTTTGAGGTGCAGGTTTGAGGTGCAGGTTTGAGGTGCAGGTTTGAGGTGCAGGTTTGAGGTGCAGGTTTGAGTTGCATGTTTGAGGTGCAGGTTTGAGGTCAGGTTTGAGGTCAGGTTTGAGGTCAGGTTTGAGGTCAGGTTTGAGGTGCAGGTTTGAGGTGCAGGTTTGAGGTG